CTGCCCCCCACAGCACCTTTCCCACAGCTGCCTCCAGGTTGGGACAGAAATGATGGCCAAAACAGCTGACTCATTCCCCCCCCCCCCACCCTTCAGGGGCCTTGTCTTTAGGGGATCCCTTTTCTCCTCACCATCTGACTGCTTTCTTGAGAGCCTGAATTTTGTTGTAAACCTCCATCATGTGAAAAATATCGAGGCTTTAAAGCATTGAGACCTGTCTCTTGGGGGATTGCTCTTACTTGGCTCTTTAAAAAGCTGTGTGTGTGTCACTGTAACACATGAAGATAATTACAAAAATCCAAAATGTTGGAAAAAGGACACAATGAGAACTCTGTCCTCGACTCCAGCCTTCTGTCCTCCATGAACCATGTTCTCATAATTAACCAATGTTATCCATTACATCTCCTTGTGGATAGTTCACATATTTATGTTTTTCCACAAATGCTAGCATTTTTGTGCTGCATTGTTTTTTCTTTAGTAGAGCATCCTTCGCACATAGATTTAAATTGTTCATTTTATTTATTTGATTTCTTTTTTTGAAACAGAGTCTCGCTCTATCACTCCGGCGACACGATTTCAGCTTAGTGCAAGCTCCACCTCCCATGTTCAAGCGATTCTTATGTCTGATTTCTGAGTAGCTGGGGACTACAGGTGCACACCATCACTTGTGGCTAATTTCTGCATTTTTAGTAGAGACAGGGTTTCACCATGTTGGCTAGGCTGGTCTCAAACTCCTGGCCTCAAGTGATCTGCCTGCCTCAGCCTTCCGAAGGGCTGGATTAGAGGTGTGAGCCATTGGGTTTGGCTTTAAATTGTTCATTTTAATTGTGGCCACTTGACTTCAAGAATAGGGAAGAGAAAGAGATTTGGGCTGCTGCCTGTCCCTCATTTAGGAACTAGTGGAAAACAATTTAGGTCAGCTATCTCAGGTGATTCTAAATGTTTTCACACATCAGCAGAGAGTATCCACCATGAGGTGGTGAGACATACCTGAGCTGAACTGCACAGAATTTGAACGTCAGGGCTGGACAGGGGAGAGTTAGACAAGTGTGTGTCTCAGGTGCTTAGAATTCCTTGGACAGAAAGCAAGGTCATATAATTCATTTTTCAGCAAGTAACGCAAACATGTAACTCTTTATTTTGTTTTTACATGGCATGATTGTATTACCACAAATTAAATGCTTCGACTATTTATTTATTTATTGAGACGTAGTCTTGCTCTGTCGCCAGGCTGGAGTGCAGTGGAATGATCTCGGCTCACTGCAACCACTGCCTCCCAGATTCAAGCCATTCTCCTGCTTCAGCCTCCGGAGTAGCTGGAACTACAGACGCAGGCCACCACACCCAGCTAATTTTTATATTTTTAGTAGAGACGGGGTTTCACCATGTTGGCCAGGATGGTCTCTATCTCTTGACCTTGTGGTCTTCCCGCCTTGGCCTCTCAAAGTGCTGGGATTACAGGCGTGAGCCACTGTGCCCGGCCACACTTTATGTTATTTTTAAATTAAATGATGAGTCATTGATAAATAAAACAGCAAATCCTTCCTTTCTACATCAATAACACATGCCTATTGTTTTCTTCTATTTTGTTTACAATCCTAGCCCAACTTTTAGGTTAGGGCTTCCTGTTATTTTTCCCTGAAAGCATTTATGTAACTTCCTATAACCCCGACACCACTCAGGGCATTTGATGGTAGCAAGAGAGGTTAACTAAGTCTAAAAGCCACGCAAACTTATAACTTAGTTAACCTCACTTGCTTCACAGGAGCATTTAATTGCATCTACCTAATTTAAAAGATGTGGGTAGCAGTTCTATGTGCAAGAGAAAGTTTCACACATTAAGGCTATGTCAGGACCAGAGAATGAATTTATGACACAATCAAATTGGAACAAAATGACACAATCACATTGAAATGACACATTCACATCAAACAAAAAACAAGTTTTTTTTTTTGGTTCTTCTTTTCAAAAAGATAAGCCACAATAAGAGGGCCTCAAAGGTGATTGCCTGCTGCTCTCATCATCATATTTGCAATGGTGGTACACTGGAAGCCTTACATTTCTTCAGTCTGATGTAATTTTGGCCGCAGTACTTTCAGGCTTTAGTAATTTGCTTGTTTTAAGAGAAATAATAGAGGATTTTAAATAAATTATTTAATTAATTTTTTTGAGACCGAGTCTTGCTCTGTCACCAGGCTGGAGTGCAGTGGCGCAATCTCCGCTCACTGCAAACTCCGCCTCCTGGGTTCAAGCGATTCTTCCACCTAGCCTCCCGAGTAGCTGGGACCACAGGCATGTGCTAACACACCAGGCTAATTTTTGTATTTTTAGTAGAGATGGGGTTTCACCGTGTTGGCCAAGATGGTCTCGATCTCTTGACCTCGTGATTTGGCTGCCTCGGACTCCCAAAGTGCAGAATTACAGGCATGAGAATATTTTTTATAAACCCTTTCCTGAAATGTCTAGTATCTTCACTGCATAACTAAAATTCCTACTGTTTCTTTAACAGTAAAGACATTTCATTATCCAAGAATGGTGTTCATGTTTTTCTAGAAAAGCTATCATTATTTGTTTAAACTTTGATCTTGAATAAAAACAAAACAAGTAAAATCTGTAGTAAAATTGTAAAATAATCTCTTTATTAAAAAATAATTATTTTTAATGGTGTTCTACAAACAGAAACAATAACAAAGCCAATATTACAAATTACTTTGCCTAATTTAGATATGAGTGACTTAAAATTGCTACTTTTGCCAGTGTCCCCTGGTGATTTTCTGAAAATGTAATAAATTGAAAGTACGAAATAAAGAGTCACATTTCTTTTGGGCTCTGGCCCTATTTAAGCTTGTAGAAATTTTCTCGGCCTCTTGTCAGTTTTCAAATTAGAGATTGGAAACTCCAATTCTGAGAATATCCTTCTGTTGTATGAGTCCACTAGCATAATCAGATTGCATGCTTTATCTTCCACCTGCTCTCAAGTTCATCAGCTGAGAGAAGGTACCTGGCTGTCTCTTCTAGAGAAGAAATAATAAATGTTGATGATTAACAAACAAAATTGCAGCCCTTATGGGAATCTGCCTCACTTGTAAATGCACCCTTCTTTCCCTACAGTTACCGTACTTGGTTATACCTAGCTCTGATATAGTTCAAAACTTACCCCACCCACAGAACCTCTTTATCAGGTGTCATCAATGTCATTTTATTGCCAGTGAAACTGATTCACAAACAAGCAACTCTCCTGAACTCAAGGACAGAACACAGACAAATGAGGGGCTTCTGTGCATTTCCATCACCGGAATTTGGTTTCCATGCAAAGAAGTAGGCCACTGTGATCTCAGCCAGGCCAAGTTTTCTCCTCCTTCCTCTATCCTCCGTCTTCTTTCTCCTTCACTGCAAGTGTTCTCAACCTCTGGGCCATGGACTGGTGGTGGTCCATGGATTCTTAAGAACCCAGCAGCAAAGCAGGAGGTGAGCTCAGGGCCAGCAAGGGAAGCTTCCTCTGTATTTACAGTCGATCCCCATCACCTGCATTACTGCCTGAGCTCTGTCTCCTGTCAGATCACTGGGGCATTCGATTCTCATAGGACTGGAACCCTACACATGGGAGGTATCTAGGTTGCAAGCTTCTTATGAGAATCTAATGCCTGATGATCTGTCACTGTCTCCCATGATCCCCAGATATATCTGTCTAGTAGCATGAAAACAAGCTCAGGGCTTCCACTGATTCTATGTTATGGTGAGTTGTATAATTATCTCATTATATATTACAATGCAATAATAATAGAAATAAAATGCACAATAAATGAAATGGGATTGAACCATCCTGAAATCATTCCCTGCTGTCCCTACCCCAGTTTGTGGAAAAAGTCTTCCATGAAACTGCTCCCTGGTTGGGGACCACTGGTCTCTACAGGATTTATCTTCTCTCTCTCTTTTTTTTTTTTTTACCTAGTCTGTAGTCCAGGCTGGAGTGCAATGGTGAGGTCTTGGCTCACTGCAGCCTCTGCCTCCTGGGTTCAAGCGATTCTCCTGCCTCAACCTCCTGGGTAGCTGGGACTACAGGTGTCTGCCACCACCTCCGGCTAATTTTTGTATTTTTAGTAGAGACGGGGTTTCACTATGTTGGTCAGGCTGGTCTTGAACTCCAGACCTCAGGTGATCCACCCACTTCAGCCTCCCAAAGTGCTGGGATTATAGGCGTGAGCCATTGCGCCCGGCCAGGTCTGTCCTCTCCTGACGCCTACTGTCCTTAGGCTCATTCTGAACCTTTTCCCTCAGGCAGAAAAGTAGCATTACCTTATTCACTCTAAGCTATAAAGGACTCCTGAGAGTTTCCCGTTTCATCAGGTACCAGCTTTTACTTGTGAACTCTGGAAGTGCCTTCCGGTGGAAGCGGCAGGAGAAGCAGCTACTGGATTGGTCTGCTGGGTGTGAGGCGAGGGCAACCTGGAGCAAGTTCAAATCTGGCCTCTGTGGGAGGCGAAGGTTGCAGTGAGCCGAGGTCGCGCCACTGCACTCCAGCATGGGCGACAGAGCGAGACTCCGTCTCAAAAAAAAAAAAAACAATCCCATTTCTGTTGTTGCTCGTCACACTCCACCACCATTCTCTGGGCCTCAGTTTACTCATGTGTAAGGGGGTCTGCGATGAGTAGAGGAGCTCGCGCATGCCAAGCACCTAGCTTGCTTGGTATCCTTGGAGTCACCTAAAGAATAGTTCAACTCCTCGCCTGCCCCTGCCCCGGGACAACACTCATTTGGGGGAAAACCCCCTCAATACTGAAGTGATCCAGTTCCCGTTTCTCTAGCTCGCCAATCGGGCTCTCTGGTTAGGCCACTGGTTTGGGAAGGCGCGGTACGGGTCGGTGCACCGCGCACCCAAACCCCAGCCAGAGAACTGAGGGAGGCGACCGGGGGGCTGGCTGCCTCCAGCGAAAGCGCCGGCGACACCTCGTGAGGAAGGAAGGGGCGGAGCTGGGCTGGCGCTCCGAGCCTGAAAACGTCCGCGCCTTCGCTGCGCGCGTCACTGAGGCCCCGGGCGCCGGAGGACGCGTTCTGCAGCCAGTGGGAGGGGACGCCGTGTGCTCGGGAGGATCGGCGGCCCGGGGTCCCTGGTCGCTGGCTCCGTCCCCCGCATCACCCGGCTCACACCTGCCCGCGTGGGGGAGCAGCGGCTGGGGGCTCTCTGAGCCGGGAGAGCCCGACAGCTCAGGAGAGTTCCTGGACTCCCCAGCCCCAGGTACCTTTGGGGCGGCGGGCTGGGGATGAGGTGGGAACTGGCCCTTTTCTGTTCCTCCTGCGCAGACAGCAGCTTTGTCCGGGTGGTTTTCGGGGTGTCGGATAGGAAGCCACCCCCCGCCGCTCCTGCCGACCTGGCTGACTGGCACACGCTCATGCTATGCTAAGCAAAGCCTGCAAAAATTATAGACGACACCTCCCTGTTTAATAAAAATGAGAATATTTACATAAATGAGGAAATATTGGAGATGGGGTGTGTTTTCTCTGTACTTTAGTGTTCTTTGCCACGTTTTTCTAATCAGAAAACAACAAAAATGCCATTTATGCAGTGTGGCTTCAGAGCAGTTGTGTGTGACCCCCCCCCCCACCTGCCACAGCCCCACGCTCTCTGCGGCCGAGCGAGACCTTTCTGAGGGGCCCTGGGCTCCCCAGAGCGCCAAGATCCTTGGTCCTAGACCTCACTTTTTGCTTCAGTCTGGTTCATGAGAGAAATATAGTCATCCGTTGTTTTCTGAGACTTTCCCCAGATTTCAGAGGAAAGGTGTAATTTACCCAATCCTCTAAGCCAAAATCCACACTGAGAGCCTCACTGCGCAGTCACTGTCCGCAGCGACCGGGAAGTGGGGTCAGGCAAATCAGGGAGTGTGGGAGAAGGAAAATCTCATACCTGAAAAACACCGAGCTTTCCTAAGGGTTTCCTCCTGCTGTGTTTGGTTTTCACATTTTGTTGTCGATGTTGGTTGTTTTTGCAAGACCTGTGGCTTTAGTATTACTTCTGCCTAACAGCTGTGCTAGAGCTCACAAACGTCTTCAGAGCCACACTTCAGGGTGATCCTGTTGAGCAGGGTTAGGCAGGAGCATAACTTGGTCTTTTGCTCTGTTCCAAGTTTCTGTTCCCCTCCTGTGTGTTCAGTATTTGGTGTTCATTAGGGAGAAAAGCCTAGAAACTTCCTACTTGCAACCACCCAAAGACATAACTCTTTCTTGAGAATATATTCAGAAGGAACTGGGGAGAGGGGGGTGGGGGAGAAATGAAAGTAAAAATTTTCGCCATCCAAAGCAGACTCCATTAGTGTAGTCAATTTTGTTTTGAAAAACAGACTTGTTAAAGCATGAGAAATCTTGTTGGCGTGCATGACCACCCAGGGGTGCCAAGCTTTCTGTTAAACTGCTTAGACACCTGGCTTCTTTTAGCGAAAATATCTCTATATGTCTTTTCATTTATGACATTTTAAGGCCAAACATCCTTCTGCAAAGTGAGGGTAGTATGTCTCTTCACTGGCTTTGCAGGACCTCAGGGTGTGTGTGTGTGCGTGTGTGGGTGGGTGTGGATGTCTGTGTGTGTGCGCGCGTGTGTGTGGGGGGGAGTTACAGGGAGGGTAGCAGAAATGGAAGTGCTGGTTTTTGCACATAACACCTCTACACGTATCCATTCTTCTTTCCCCAGAGAGGAATCAGAAGCCTTGCCCTGAATCTAACCCTTCTCTTCCCAACTCTAAGCCTCCCAGGTGAGTGTATACATACTGATGTCTAGCACAGAAGAGCTGGATACTCAAGAATGCAGCATCCATCCCTTCTGTATTAAGCTTTTAAAGACAGAGTTCCCGACTGCATTGCTTCTTTTTATTTCAATATTTATTGTAGTTCCTTTGTTAATACAGATCCATTTGTCAGATATTCAGTGTTTTACGACTTTTCCATGTTAGATATTTACAGTTTACCCCTTTAATGATATTTTGCTAATCTTCAACCACAGTCAATTCCATAAAAATCAGATGGTTGGTGACTTTGTAAAGAAAGTATTCGCTAAGTGTTTGAATAAAAAATATTTTCCATGTCCATATTTTATACCATGTGCATCGAAGTGCACATGGTATAAAATTCCAAAGGTACAGAGTGTGCAGTGGCAAGTCAGTCCCCTTTCTATCCTGGGCCCCCAGTTTCTGTCTCCAGAGGTAGCCATTGTTACCACTATATAAAATCATTGTTCCTCTCTTTCTTTGATAACTTAAGACTAACAGATTTTAAAATGCTGTTTTGAGCAAATGTGCACCAGTGATTTTTTTTTTAATCTCACAATTTTAAGTACATTATTTTAGTTATTTGTTAGCTTCTGTCTTTCCTGTTTTTCTGCTGGCACTCTGAAATGGCAGGATATTCAGGCCAGTTTGTAGAAGGACCTTGCGGCTTTGGAGATAAACAAATAGATTTGTTTCTACGTTCCTTGAGGTTAGAGATCAAGATAGTCTTCAAACAACTTGCTACAATTATCAATGAGTACTAGGTCCATGCTAACATTATATACCCAGGCTTAAGGATAACTGATATTCACAGTAACCTGGTGCTTCAGAGCCTGTTTCTCCTATGAGGTAGCACTAACGGCGTATTTCCCTCCCCAGTATTAGATTCTCATTTGGTGCCTTGCTGGTTGTAGCCCCCACACCTTTATGTCCCCCTTCTCTACAGGTTAACTGCTAAAGTTTGTGAAGTAACTGGTAACCAGGGAGGCGGTGTTTGTAACAGTTAAGAGAGAGTGCATTAGAGTTTGAATCCTGTCTTTGACATTGGATTTGTGATCTGGGCTGGTTTTTAAACTTTCTGAGATTCCTTGTTCCAGATCTGAGTTGAAGTCCTGGAACAAGTAAACTCAATAAATATTTATAGAGTTCTCCATTTTAAATACACAAAATATTGATTGGCCATTATTAATACCCATTTTTAGAATGAAGTAATATTCCTGTTCTCTCTCCCTCTTTTTCTTCCTCTTTCTTTCTCTCCTTTTTTTACTTTTCAACATCCTAGTTCCTCACCTCTACTCAATACATTCCTCTGAACACCTGATTCCTTGTGATTTTCCCGTCCCACTGAAACCTCCAAAAAAAAAAGAGAAGAGTATAGACCTTATATCACATTTCACATCAAGCATATCACATGATGACTGCTTTTTCTCCCATGAGTGGCCATTCAATGGGGCCATATATTGCATAAAATATCAGTCTTTCCCTTGAGCACTCTGTAGAAAAGAGGTTAATGCCTAGCTGAGGCATACAAACCATGGTCATAAAGTAGAAGTCACTCCCCTGAGCCTAGCTCCATCATGGCTTATGCTGGTATTGAGACATATGATTTAATCTGAGATACATAGATAGGTCTATGCCAAGACACTCAACACAGAGCCACTTTACAGAGGGATCCAACCCAGTACTCCTTGAAAAAATAAAATAAACTTTCTGAAATTCAGCATGCTCATCAGTGAAGCAGTGATTCACAGGGTTATGTTGAAGAATAGATGACCTGTTGCCATCAAAAAGCAGGTTAGTGGCCCACTACATGCAGAGTCCAATTAACAAGAGTGAGGTCTGGCACCAAAAAAAGGGAATTCCTAAGTGAGCCTGGAGAAGGGGGCACAAAATGTCCTTGCTTTGTCCACATGCAGAATGTGCTGCTTCACTTTTGGAGCAGAAAGTGGACACTTTTATAAAGCAAGGTGGGAAGTGAGCCAGAGCAGGGGGTCCCCCACTTGCCTGGTGCCTTATCTACCAGACAGTAAAGTTGGCTCCTTCCTGGGAAGAAATATAAGTTATATAAGTGGCTGTGGGCATGCTTTTGCTATGGTCTCGTAGTAGGTGTGAGTTCTGAGGCCACCCCCTGGAGGTGAGAGTTCTGTGGGAGCATGCTTTGGTCTACAAATCAACTGTCAACTCTCCAGGAGAGATCAAAGTCAAGATCGTCTTGGAGCACATAGTTAGATATACTTGCCTGCAGGGAGCCAGCCCTGTATCACCCGTGGGTACCCCATGTTCGGTAGTGACAAAGGAATGAGAAAAAGACAGATTAAGAGTGCAAAGAGTGGGACCAGGGGGCCATCACATATTACTCTGGAGGAGGCAGCGAAAGCCCTGAACTCTGATCATCCACACTATTTATTGGTTACAGTCACTTTGATCTACAAGGTAGGGGTGGAGTAATAGTGGAGAGTGGGTGACGTGATGATGGAGTGAATCAGTGAGCCAGAAGTGAATTAGTGAGCCAGAACTGGTATGTCATTCTAAGCATTGATAACAATGGTGGTTTAGGAGTTTCACAAAACAAGAACATGTGGTTATCTTTAGCTTACTATCTATGTGCAGCTGATGGAATGCGGGCCTTATAAGGAGCCTACAGCTCTGGCTATGTCATAGTGCTATGAAGAGGTTTTATGTCCTTGAGCACAATGTTTATGGTAACAGAGTAAGGTCACCCTGGACCAGAACGTGAGGCATGAAGAGGCCTTCCTCCTCAGAGGCCTCCTGCAGCCTTCCACAGTTTGTTGTTCCTTGTTTATATGTTACTTAAAACCAATTTATGTAGGCACTCTGTAAGTCCTTTCTCCTTTGCTGCTTTTCCCAACACTTGCCCTATAGGGAATGTCTGGTCAGGAGAGGTGAACGGTTACATTTGCATTTCTGAAGAGCTAAGTAGGAAGCAGGGCGGAAAGGAGGAAAAAGAAAATAATTTTAAAAAATTAAACGATTATTGAGAAAAACGGAGGTACTTCATTACAATGTTTCAGGGACTTAGCACTCTTCTGGTACATGAAAGGCATGTAATAAGTAGTAGCCCTTATTCCTGTCTATATTAGTTTGTTCTCACACTACTGGTAAAGACATACCTAAGACTGAGTAATTTATACAGGAAAGAGATTTGGTGGACTCACAGTTCACATGGCTGGGGAGGCCTCACAATCATGGCAGAAGGAAAGGAGGAGCAAGTCATATCTTACATGGATGGCAACAGGCAAAGAGTTTGTGCTGGCAAACTCCCCCTTTTAAAACCATAGATCTGGTGAAACTTAATCACGATCACAAGAATAGCATGGGAAAGACCTAGCCCCATGTTTCAGTTACCTCCCGTCAGATCCCTTCCACAATATGTGGAAATTGTGGGAGCTATAATTCAAGATGAGATTGGGGTGGGGACACAGCCAAACCACATCCCTGTCTGGGTTTGCTGTGGTCTTATACCTTCATAAGATAGGTGAATGTATCCATCAGCTCAGTTTCTATTATGATGCAGTAACAGATGACCTCAAAAATCTCAGTGGCTTATTGGAAGAAGGGTTGACATTTTGGTTAATATTACCTGTCCTTTATATATCTGTCTTCGGCTCTTCCCTTTGGGACCAGACTGAGCAGCCCCTTGTGGGAACTGTTGAAGTTTTGACAAGAGAAAGAAGGAAGGAAGAGTGGCTTTTAAGCTTCTGCTTGGAAGTAAGTTTCTGCATCACTTCCATTCATGTTTCATTGACATGGTTGTTAACAAAGTGAATCATTGTTTTAAAGGGGCAGGTCTAGTAGGGATAGACCTGCAGAAACAGGGTAGCAAATATTTGAGAGTAATGCAGTCTGCCTCAGTGTTTGTTGGATGGAGTAACAATCGTGAACCCAGAGATTCATCAAACCCAGAGAACTGATCTACACCAAGGCACTCATAGCCACTGATGTATAAACCAGAATGCCATTATTTTTCCCTAACAGTGGATAAAGTATCTGCCCTGAGGACTGAGTATAAGAACCTATATGGGGTAATGGGATAAGCTTTTCTTGTGGTGGAGTAGCTCAGAAGACTGAATTATAAAATAATAGCTTATATAAAGCATACAAAACCAAAATTTGGATGTTACCAAAAGACTATTTAGATCCAGAATACACCACGGTTTTTACTTCAGTTTTCCTTCTGGAATTCTTATTGCCTAAAGTCCAAGAATGAACTAGATTGATGGTAGCATATCCTAAACAAAGCTGGAGATCCCCGACAGACTCTTGCGCTTCTTTTTCAGGCTCTTGTTAATAGCAAATGCTTTTCTTGTGGACTACTAATGCATCATCTCATGACTTATAATTATCCTTTTATGCTGTCTGCTTCCTGGATAATGGGACTTTATTACTATAATGAAAGCGTCTTCAAATCACAGGGTAAAATGGATTAACCACTTCTACCCATTGTGTGTTAATTCTTGCTGACTTTGGTTTCATAGTAAGTTTTACTACGTCAGCACAGGACTCTGAGGATTTTTCTCAATTTTTCTCCTTATAGCTGGACATCTGTGACCTGCTTGGGTAGAGCAATATGATGCAATAATGTTCAAAAAATATATTATGAAAATAAAATCGAAGATGCATTTTCAAATCAGTGGAAAAGAAATATTGCTTAGTTATGTCATTGGTTGAATAATTGAATAAACTGAGAGTGATTTTCAGCAGCAGAACTTTGCAAAACAGAAAGGAAAATTGTATTTTAAAAGTAAATAACAAGGCTGAGAATGGTGGCTCCTGCCTGTAATCCAAGCACTTTGGGAGACCGAGGTGGGTGGATTGCCTAAGCTCAGGAGTTTGATGGCAGCCTGGGCATTATGGTGAAACCCCGTCTCTACTAATATACGAAAAATTAGCCTGGAGTGGTGACACATGCTTGTAGTCCCACCTGCTTGGGAGGCTGAGGTGAGAGAATTGCTTGGACCTGAGAGGCAGAGGTTGCAGTGAGCCAAGTTCACGTCACTGCCCTCCAGCCTAGCAAGATGCTGCCTCAAAAAAAAAAAAAGTAAATAGCAGGAGGATAGAATGGGAAGGAAAATATTCCGTTTTTGTTTATTTGTTTGTTTGTTTGCTTGCTTGTTTTTGAGATGGAGTCTCGCTCTGTCGCCAGGCTGGAGTTCAGTGGCGTGACTCTCAGCTCACTGCAACTCTGCCTCCTGAGTTCAAGCAATTCTCCTGCCTCAGCCTCCCAAGTAGCTGGGACTACAGGTACTTGCCACCACGCCCGGCTAATTTTTATATTTTTACTAGAGACGGGATTTCACTATGTTGGCCAGGATGGTCTCGATCTGTTGACCTCGTGATCCACCTGCCTCGGCCTCCCAAAGTGCTGGAATTACAGGCGTGAGCCACTGCTCCGGGCCTGGTTTTTGTTTTTTATATTTCAAACCCGCATAATTTTGATGCCAACATCTAATATAGGTGGCAAACAAAAAATAATGAAACTACAAATCAATCTCACTTAAGACTGATGATCTCAAAACCCCAAATCAGTATAAGCAGGTAGTGACCAGTAGCAGCAGCAAGTGAGAGTCATTCAAGGAATGCAGCGGCACTCAGTATCTCTCTATGTACTGTTTCACTTACCGCCACGCTAGAGTTTCGGAATTCTATGCAGCTCTTAAAGAATTAGGTATATTTGTTTGTGTAAATATGAAGAAATAATCACTCATGTATATTATTAATTGAAAAATTGGTTAGGCGTAGTGGTTTACGCCTGTAATGCCAGCACTTTTGGGTGGGTGAGGCAGGCGGATCACCTGAGCTCAGGAGTTTGAGAGCAGCCTGGCCAACATGGCGAAACTCTATCTCTACTAAAAATACAAAAATTAGCCAGGTGTGGTGGGGTGTGTCTGTAATCCCAGTTACTTGGGAGGCTGAGGCAGGAGAATCGCTTGAACCTGGGAGGTAGAGTTTGCAGTGAGCTGAGATCATGCCACTGCACTCCAGCCTGGGCGACAGAGACTTGTCTCAAAAAAAAAAAAAAAAAGAAAGAAGAAGGAAAAAAAAGAAACAAAAAAAAAATCAAGTTTCAGAACTAAGTACAGCATGTTTTATAGCATGTTTCTATTTGAGTAAGGATTTTTTTCTCTCTGTGGAGAAATTCTGTGTGTGTGTGTGTGTGTGTACACACATAGTTTTATGCTGGTTATATAAAGAAAATTTCTGTAAGGATGAAAGTAGCTTTTATCATGGTTGTACTCTAGGAGAGGAAGACAAAGAATTCAGGTGGGGGAGAGATACTTGTTTTTAAAATCCTTAGTTAGTGTTTGAATTTAAAAATCATGTGCATGTACTTTTAAAATATTAACTTTGTTTGAAAATGACATTGTATGTTGAAGTAACTTCACAAAATTTTGGTAGCTATTTCTCCATCTTGTTATACTGCTTTTAAATACTCAACTGATTATCAAAGCAAGTGGAGGGCACCTCAGACCATCGGCTCTGGAGGGACGCGGTTAACAACAGTTAGATTGTGCAATTTGTAGCTAATGACAGTTTTGTCCATCCAGTCACTGGGCACCACTGAAAAAAATGAGTATTACCAGTGCAAGCCATGATATTTAGAACTACCTCATGGAGACTTATATTCTTCTTCTTCTTTTTTTTTTTGAGACGGAGTTTCACTCTTGTTACCCAGGCTGGAGTGCAATGGTGCAATTTCGTCTCACCACAACCTCTGCCTCTTGGGTTCAGGCAATTCTCCTGCTTCAGCCTCCTGAGTAGTTGGGATTACAGGCACGCGCCACCATGCCCAGCTAATTTTTTGTATTTTTAGTAGAGACGGGGTTTCACCATGTTGACCAGGATGGTCTCGATCTCTTGACCTCGTGATCCACCTGCCTCGGCCTCTCAAAGTGCTAGGATTACAGGTGTGCGCCACTGCGCCCGGCCAAGAGACTTATATTCTTAAAAGTCTGTAAGTCTAACATTTGAAATTATAGAATAAAATAACCATTTAAAGCATTTACTAGTTTTAATCATTTACCTGTTAGAAATCAAAGTGGATATAAAGAGGAGATAAAGGAAAAATGTTGAAGTTGTTTGTGTATAAGTATTAAGTTTCTTTAACCAGGTTTCACAATTCATAATATATATATAATTATAATCCAGTTAATAAACTGTAGGTTTTCTTTATGTGTATATCTTCTGAGGATATTCAAACCAAAGGAATTTTTTATTTTCAATTTTTTTTTTAAAGTACACCTGTCATATTTTCTCTGGGCTCAAGTTACTCTGTTTAAGTGAGAGAGGAACTGAGGTTTCTTTATGCTTCCCTCAAATCATTTTATTATAAAAAATCATTCTTTGTTATTGTCTGCATTTTATGTATGGTCTTATAGTCAAACTAGAAATGAAAAAGATAGGTAAGATTAGTGCAGTGATTTTTTAGGTCTTGTTATAAGATTTCACATGTCGACTAGTTCACTTAAAGTATTATGTCTGTATTGTTTTCCTTAAGTACAAATAAATTGCCTATCAGGAGATGTTCATCAAAACATTAGAATCAAAGTTCTCAATGCTTCGTGTGTAAGCAGAAACTAACATGGTAATTTAATTATTGCAGGTGGGCCTTGTGCACATCATGTCCAGTTTTGAAGATGCTGACACAGAAGAGACAGTAACTTGTCTCCAGATAACGGTTTACCATCCTGGCCAGTTGCAAAGTGGAATATTTCAGTCAATAAGGTTTTGTAAAAGAGACAAATTCCCTTCCAGTGAAGTGGTGAAATTTGGGCGAAATTCCAACATCTGTCATTATACTTTTCAGGACAGACAGGTTTCTCGAGTTCAGTTTTCTCTGCAGCTGTTTAAAAAATTCAACAGCTCAGTTCTCTCCTTTGAAATTAAAAATGTGAGTAAAAAGGCCAATCTGATCATGGACAGTAGAGAGCTGGGCTACCTAAATAAAATGGACCTGCCATACAGGTGCATGGTCAGATTCGGAGAGTATCAGTTTCTGATGGAGAAGGAAGATGGCGATTCATTGGAATTTTTTGAGATTCAATTTATTTTATCTCCAAGATCACTCTTGCAAGAAAACTACTGGCCACTGCACAGGCCCATACCCGAGTATGGCATTTATTCATTCTCTTCCTCCCAAAGCAGTTCTCCTACAGAAATGGATGAAAATGAGTAATGAATACAGAAGGTCTAAGAGAAGAAATATGAAGGATGAAGAACTCTGTAGATGCTCTACAGACACTGCTTATTAAGCGTTTGTTAGGGTAGTATGTTATAGTCATCTGTTATGCTGTGAAATTTGGAATTTCAGTGTTATCACTTTGAAGTCTGTAAATTGTGTTAGTCATTAACTTAGTCACCTGCTGTATTCCTGGAGCTACACAAAATTATTTTAACCACTCATCTGTGAGGATTAATATACAAAAAGATATCCTTTGGGATGAAATAGTGTTCTCAAAATAAGGTTATATTATTTTCTTTTTCTGCTTGATTTTCATCTGTTTTTTGCTTTGTTTTTGTAAGGAACCGGCTCTTGGTTTGGTCACATTATTTCACAGCAGCCATTTGTTTTCAAGGCCAAGGCTCCAGGCAGGTTGTTACCCGTGTTCGTAGCCTGTCAGTACTTGCAGCACCGGAGTACTGGAATAGGTTCTAGAATAGCGTCTGTGCATCACTGTGGGTTTAGTATGGGAGGACTTACTTGAGAAATACTACCTTGCTTTTCTATGACTTCTTTTTACAGAATTGTAGTATGTTTGCTCCTAAGACGACAGCTCTCTTTATCTATCAGCATCTAAGACAAATATTTAAACATTTTAAAGCACCACTGTGTTATGTTTAGAATTATTTACTTACAAAATTAGAAGTTTGATTTTTATGTTATACGAAATTTTAAAATTTCACAAATTCACCTTTGTAATAGTATCCATGTACATAATAAAGTCAATTTTTTTCTAGATAAGGGAAAGAACTGTTCTTGGGCCACCTTTCATAGATAAATGTATGTGAAAATGTTTGTAATAAATACTTAAATATTTCCAAATGTTAACTTCAAAAAGTTTTTTCAGTTCTTATTTTGTTTAAATTTAAGATACTTATTCAACTCAACTAAGATAGTGAATGTTAAGTAGATAATGGTAACCATTTAGTTTAGTTAAATTGTAGTATTGCCAGGTAGTAAGGCTTATTATACAATTTTCCAGGTAAATGAAATTTCCTATAGTAAGAGGTCTATATTTTTGTAACATCCTTTAAAAAATGCTTTTGTGAACTCTCCAGCCTCTTAACAAAACAGGCTTTAAACCTTGTCTTGATTCAGACCATCAGTCTATTCCCCGGCAATAGTATGTGATATCCAGCACCCTAACCCTGACTCCCCAGCCCTGGAACTATCCCAGTAGGGTGAAATATTTGTCCCTCTGCAAAGTGGCCTGAATGATTGCTTTAGATCCTGTGTCTAGTTTTCCTGCTTATTCCCGGTGATGGGCAGAGTAATGATCCATCCAAAGATGTTCAGGTGTCCATGTGATATTCTCCAGGACTTAAGGGGAATTAAGGCTGCCGATGGAGTTAAAATAGATTATGCTGGATTATCTGGGTGTGCCCAATTGATCACCAGATCCTTAAAAGTGGAAGAGAGGCAGATCAGTATGTCAGAGTGATGAGGTGTGAGATGGACTTGACCTGCTATTGCTGGGAGGAAAGAGATCATGAGCCAAGGAATGTGGACAGTCCCTTGAAGCTGGAAAGTGTGCATCGAACGTCTGGAGACTGGAAAAGACAAACCCCCAGAAAGGAACAAACTCTTGTGGACACCCTGATTTTGGTCCAGTGAAACATGTTTGACTTGTTAACCTACAGAACTTTATGATGACAAGTTTGTGTTTGTCGTAAGCCACTAAATTGCAGTAATTTGTTACAGCAGCAAATAGAAAACTAATATACTCCCTTTGGTCTAAGATTATCTACTACTGATTCTTTCTAGGATTATAGCTTCCTGTCTGATGTGGATTTACAGCCACATCACCCAGCTTCTTTGAAGTGCTTACAGTGTGTATTGTCATGATGAAGCCTTTCTAAGGGTGAAGTATATATACTTTAATATGTGCATACTGTCACATTTTGACTATTTTGGAAGACTTTCACCTCTGTTTCTTGTCTTTGAGGCTGATGAATTGTGTTTCTAAGTTATAAATTTAATATTAAGGGATTCATGTATTATTGTTATTGAACTCAAACAATATTAAGTAATGTTTAGGGCCAGGAAAATCTCATGCTCATACAGAATAATGATATCTCCTAATGTATATCTTGGAAAGAGTTTTGTTCAACATGAGAAATACTAAATTTTTAAAAAATTTTTTCTTCTTAAAAGATTGACAAAGGAGAGAGTGGGTTGCTAAATGTTTATTTATTATTGTTCTCCAAAGAATAAAACACTTTCCATAGCCCAGCTCTAGTAGTAAATAATAATGAATGCTCCAATAATAAAGGAGCAATAGATTAGTATTGTAGGGCTAAGGGCCCCACAGGGTCGTGGAGTGTCCTTTATGCTGTGCCGAGGCATAGGATCTGAGAAATAAAGAGACAGGATACAGAAGTACAAGGAAAATGCAGCTGGGCTCAGGGGGGCTACATCACCTATAAGTGGAGACAGGCGAAGCCCTGAATGTCCAGAAGTGTGTGTATTTGTTGGGTACAGGTTAGGGGGCAGGGTAGTGAGTGAAGTCATCTTTAAGGATAGTGATAGGGTTGTGAGCAATAAAACAAGGGTCCACCCCCATTACATCACCTAGACTAGGAGGTGGACAGTATGCAGCAAGGGTTCCACCCTCATTAGGTCACCAAGGCATGGAGGTGGGCCATGCACAGTGAAGAGGGTGCAGTGTGCAATACTTCTATTTATGGGCATGCTACTTCTAAGAATACAGGAGGATGCTTAAGTCATACAGCAGTGACAGAGCTGTCAAGGTCTACCACCACCTGCTGGCAGCTTCCAGTGAGTTCTATAGGAGGATGCTTTGGAGCTAGCACAGTAACAAGAGCTGATAAAGTTCACAGTCACCAAGGTGCGATTATCCGGAGGGGTTTTGAGCGAGAGCTTGCTGGTCTGAGGGCAGCCTTCCACAAGAACTGGACACAAGGTCCTACAACTCCTTTATCAGGAAGAGTGGCTCTTGCCCCAACCCTGCCATACAGCAGGTATCTTTATGATACTGAACGCTACCGCCTGGGCCATGGATTCTTGTTCTGGTATAATTGTTTTTCCCTTAAATCATGCTCTGCACCATGTCTGCTGTGGACATTCCTCTGACTATAAGCTGCTTATTCTTTAATTCATGCTCTGTACTGTGTCTACTCTAGGCATTCCTCTGATTATGAACTAAGATATATGTATATATGTATATATATAGGGAAATAACTGAGTGGTAAGATACTCTTTAGGCACTCATTCTATGAACTAATATATGATTATATGTAGAGGATTATATAAAGGGAAATAACTGAGTAGTAACACTGTAAACTGAGATACTCTTCGGGCACTAATTGTGCCAGGATTCTGCTTAGCTCTCCTTCCTCAGTGCCTATGTGGGGGATTACCCACATAGCATTAGAATTGTTTTTATTACAAAGTCAGCATCTCTGCCAGAGCTGCACAACCCCAGGGGTTGTTAGAGGAAAACTGCCATATTTCACAGAACCTGAGGAAAGAATGCAGCAGACCTCAGGCAGAATTCAAACACCTCCGGCTCTGCCCCTCAATGTGTATTGGCTCCATGGCCACGTGTAGCTCCCAAGTTTTACAAGTTATTGATCCCCCAGAGAGACCTGATCTCCTGATTTCAGTTCCAGGGAAGGGTCAACTTGGGTCAGGTGCCCACCGCTGCACCGATCAACTTGTCTCAGTTAATGCAGTCACATTATATAACGGCTGCTCTGATCAGTGACCATGTGGATAGATACAGCATTTTCTCAAAAAAAAAAAAAAAAAAATGTCGCAGAGGGGTGGTGTTGGGGGCAAACAAAAGTATTGGTGTTTGATACAAGGTACTGCAGCAAAGATGTGACACCTTCCATACACACCTTAAGGGCTTCTTTGTCTCTGGAAAGTGACTTTTCTGAGGCTGTTTAGGTAGAAAGGTGTATTAATGGTGCCGGTGTTAGAATCACTGGCAGTCTCTTCTTGAATCTGCAACTCCAATGGTTAAATCTCATACAACATATGGTTACATAATTATTCTAGAGAATTCTATTCCTACTATCTAATTCAGTAACAGACTTGAAAGTAAGAAGCATACTTTTAGACTCTAATGTGAGTGGTGGTATTTGTTTCAATGGAGGTGGGATGAGGCATGTGTTCGCTTAGCTTTACATTAAAAAAAAATTATATGTGTAAATAAATATGTATGCCTTGTAGAAAAATTAGCCATAATCTTACTACCAGAAGATAACTGCTGTTAACCTTTTGTGTGTGTACATGTGGTGGCTGCTTCCATGTTATCTCCTGGCTCTTTTTACTTTTCCAGTTCTCTAACACTTGTTTAATTAATTCCTTATATTATTATGTTAAGATAACAACTGTTGTCATTATTTCACTAAGTGGACCATGATTGAAACCATCAGAGTTTCCATTTCAGGTGGTGACCAAGATGAGCACTAGGAAAAGTGTGGGTGGAAGTTAATGGGCTTCTAGTCGGTATGAGTTGTCCTCAGATCCAACCACTTACTACTATACTGTTCAACATACATGAAAATACTTATTTTTCCTTTACATCGTAAGCAATGAATTTAGGGTTGGGAGCACCGGTGAAGAAAGTGGGAAGGCAGTAGTTTCAGCTCTTTTGCTGGTTTCATTATTTTGTTACTGATGGAAGGGTACCAAGGACTAAAGATGAACTAGTGTGGCCCTGCTCAGTGGCATCAGTAAAATAACTGCTTGAAAGCCAAAATCACAACAGTGACTTTTCTTTTTTAGACTTGTCAAATGCAGTAGCCAGAAGGCAGGAAAGAGTAGAACAAGAAGCCGGGCGCGGTGGCTCAAGCCTGTAATCCCAGCACTTTGGGAGGCCGAGGCGGGTGGATCACGAGGTCAAGAGATCGAGACCATCCTGGTCAACATGGTGAAACCCCATCTCTACTAAAAATACAAAAAATTAGCTGGGCATGGTGGCGCATGACTATAATCCCAGCTACTCAGGAGGCTGAGGCAGGAGAATTGCCTGAACCCAGGAGGCGGAGGTTGTGGTGAGCCGAGATTGTGCCATTGCACTCCGGCCTGGGTAACAAGAACGAAACTCTATCTCAAAAAAAAAAAAAAAAAGAAGAAGAAGAAGTTAGATCTAAAACTGACTATGAACAATCAACTAACAGTGACATTTTAAAACAGAAAACATCTGAGCTTACACAGTCACAATAAGGTGTGACAATGAAATTTCATGTTAGTTCAGAGTGCCTTTTTATAATATCACTTTTGGTGTCTTGAAAATTTTTTAATCCTCCAAAGTTAGGTTAGACACCTTCTTTTTAACAGCTAAGCAAAAGAATCCCCTGAAGCCTCCAAAGCTCTCAAAACAATACTGACCTAATTTCTACAGAGAAGTATTACACAGTGTTGAGTGTGGGCTCTGAGTCATACTGCTTGGGTTTATCTACCATTCCTGTAATTAGATGTAACTCAGATTCCTTTTTTGAGAAACAAGAATTAAATAGTGCCTCCTTCATAGGTTCTCTGTGAAGATCAATGGAGATAAAGCATGTAGTCTCCTTTCTACAGCATTAAACACAGCACATGCTCCTCTGAGTTGAATGGAGCAGTTAGGTCCTTAATTTATTTTTTTGAGAAAGGGTCTTGTTCTTGTTGCCCAGGCTGGAGTGCAGTGGCGCAGTCTTGGCTCACTGTAACCTCTGCCTCCTAGGTTCAAACGATTCTCCTGCCTCAGACTCCCTAGTAGCTGAGATTACAGGCACCTGCCCCCACACCCAGCTAATTTTTGTATTTTTAGTAGAGACGGAGTTTGACCATGTTGTCCAGGCTGGTCTCAAACTCCTGACCTTGTTGTGATCTGTCCTCCTTAGCCTCCCAAAGTTCTGGGATTACAGGCATGAGCCACCACACCCAGCCAGGTCCTTATTTATAATGCTCATATATAAGATTTCTGAACTACAGAGAACATTACTGCATCTGGGTAGGAAGAAAATAAATTTTTAAATAATATTCATACAATTTATTTTAATATAATTTTCCAAATTTAATTTCATGTTCACCTTTAATATTTCCTAAGAATTCAAGAATCAGATGCAGGGATTCTGTTTCTGTTTTTGTTGTTGTTTTATAATTAGGATTTCAATGTGGAATCTCAGATTTCTTTTATGAACTCCTTTACTGTCAGATAATTAACCAGAGATACCAAATAAATGAAGATGGGAAAACACTATAAATATATTTGATATGAAATCTTTTTTAGATTTCTGTATTTTCAAGAAGTTATGATTAGGACATGTTTACATAGTCAAATGAAACCTCTGGCCTCTGCTAGAAATATATATTTCTCTAATTATTAAAAAAAAAGCAGGCATAATTCCAAAATATATTATTTCAAAAGTTCTAGTGTTACCAGTGGTGAGTATGGGCAGGCTCCACAGTCCTTGATCTTTGTCTTCTTGGGAGAAAGAATTAAGTCAAGAGACTGAAGTAGATTTAAGGCAGAAACAAGAGTTTATTGAAGCAAAAAAAAAAAAAAAATAAAGCTCACTGAGTACCCAGCCTGACCTTTGTCTTGGGGCTCTTAGAGATTTACTATTTCCTATTTTTTTCCTGGTTTCTTCCCCTTCCTGTATGTGCATTAGTTTGCCAGCATCTGGGAGGGCCTTTTGGTGGTTGAAGTTATGCACATACTCTCTTAGGGCAATTTTCCCTTTCTGGCCTAGTACCCCCACGCCAATCCCCATGGGAAGGTCATATATTGGTCAAACTCTGTCATTTGCCTCTTACTGCACATGCCTTGACATGTTCCCAGAGGAAGGTCAAACTCTGCCATCTTAAGTTCTTAGTGGGAAGTTGTTGCCCATGAGCTCAAGATGTCTCCTGTTAGATTTTCCCCTCCCTGTCACCATCCTGATATTCTTTGTGGCCCTGTCCTGCCCTGTTCATATCTGCCTATCTACCTACTCTAAAACTAGTACCTTATATATAACTCCACATCCCCCTCCAGCTTCCCCATTTCTCTGCTCTTTTTTCAAATTGTCTTCATTAACTGTTCTTTATTCTTCACCCCCTAACTCCTCAGTTTCTATCTCTTCATTTGTATAACTGTTCCCAAATGCATCTAAAGCAGCAGACCTCTTTTTATTCAAAGCATTTGCTACTGTTGAGCCCTCTCATTTCCTGGCTCCTGTGACACTATATTCTCTGGTTCCCTGCATTCCTCCTGTATGTTTCTTTTCGCTGTTTCTCTTCCCCAACTTCTAAATGTCCACGCTTAGGCTTCTCTGCCTACGTGTACCCCTGAGGTGAACTCAGCTGGTTTAATGACTTGAAATACCATTTTCCTACTAATGACTCCTAAACTTGTACCTAGACCTCTTTCTTGAGCTGCAGACATGTATCCCATCACCTACTTGATATCTTCATCCCTTTGCTTGTAACATGCTTCAGAGCAGGCTTTGTTCCTTGACTGGTTTCTGCTTAACAATTAAGTTTTAGTCAAGGTATTTCCTCAGAGAGGATTCTCCTGACATATGAGACGTAGTCAATTGGCCCCCAGTTACCCTCTCTCCTAAAATCTTGTGTATTTTCTAACTGTGACCTGTGATTTTCTTACATATATGTTTACTTATTATTGTCTTTCTCAGCAGAATGGTAAGCAAAGAGCAGGGACCTTATATGTCTTTGTACTTCTATGTCCCTAACACCCACCAGACACAGTTCCAATAAATACCATCACAATATTTGCTGAATAAGTTATTTCTAGTACTTTTTATAAACACAAAACAAAGTTAATATATTTTTCTTAACAGTTAAAACACATTTTTAAGTTTAGTTCCATCTTGCTTTCTTAATCTACTTCTTTTTGTCTTCACATCAGATTTAATAAAATAATTATAAGTCAGGGGTCAGAATACCTGTATGTTTACGGAGTAAAATCAGCAACAGTCAAAACTCTTATTACCTTTCAGTGTAAAAATGTGTTTATTCACAACCATTTGTGAATTACCATTTGTTACCATTCCTTCAAAAAAGTCTTTATGAACAAAAAGCCAAAAAAATTACAATAGTAGCTTATGCCAAACCAAAAATATACATCTGATGTATACAAACTTTAAAAAGCATTAACACAGGCAATGTGAATATAGATTACCTTAAAAATATTTCCAAGACACAGCTACAACTTAAATTATGTTAAGACAGATATAAATAATAGCATTACCTAATGTATTCTATTTACATATTTAAAGTGTCATATTAATTTCTATAACACAAAAAAGGAGATAAAACTACAGATGTTGTTGCTTAGCAGTTCAAATATTGAAAGGGCCACATGATTTTTTTTTAAGTACAGCAAGAACTTTAGGTTATTATTTATATCGGGACCTTCCTATATTTATAAGAACATGCACTGTCATTGTTTGTTGCAAGAGAAAGAAAATTAGAAAACACTAAGGAAAAACAACAAAGAGTTTGCTTACTAAAATCATACCAAATCCTCAGCAAAATCAAGGAAAGCAATTATGGAGTGTTTTCTATCCCTGGCCTTTTATATTGACACATAAATTTTAGAGAAAAGAACAGTTAATTGTCTACCACAAAATGCAGTTATAGATATTGATATGCTTAGTTCTATCCTATTAAAGCACCTTGTACTACAAGGTAAAGGAAAGCTTAATAAAATCAATGAAGGCTTTCATACCAGAAATAATTTTATTTGAAATACCCGTATTACCTTTTTAGATTTTCCTTTCTTAAATAATGCAGAGAATATGTGCTGTGTAAAATCTATCTAAGATCATTCATTGGAAATATAGAATTTTAAAAAAATAATGGCACCTAAAAACAATACTATATATCAATTAATTTAAAGTTAATATGGTGGCATGTAAAATGAAGAGGAAAAACCTAAATATATGTATCTTCTTAAATATTATTTTTTATTATTACCAACTTGAAATGTCCAAACTCTGAAGGGTTATTTTTACCATATTATCTTTTGCTTAGATTGAATCAACATTATCATACTAGGACATGTAATAAGTATAGAAAGAAACCAATACTTCATCATTTCTTGGAGTCATCTACTCAAATCAATTGTGCTTACTATTAGATAATAAAATCCAAGGAAGTCATAGAAATAAATAATGCTGGAAAAGGAAACAATATTCTAAATCTGAATCTGACAATCCCTCCTCATGCTCCCTTCACATCTGCTGAGAATTAACAAAAAAAGTCTTAATATTTTCATAGTTAGACAATGAAATAGGCTTCAAAATCATTCAAAGTAAAATTAAAAAAATTTAAAGTGGAAATCTACCATAGTTAACAGAAATGCTATAAAGAAAAGACTTAAAGTAAATTTTATTAACATGACAGGACCATTAAATTGGTCTTGAAAAGCAGAAGGCAGATGATGAAATTGCACTTAATTCTGAAGCAATTCAGATCCTATCATCCTCACTCCTTTCTAATAAAATAAGCATTTACAACATGGGTTCTTACACGTCTCCCTTACAAAAAGGCTCAGCACAATCATTTATACATTCTAGTTGGTTTTTAACATTTGGTCATAACTGATAAACAAGGTCACAGGATTTGACCCTATCGAGTCTGTTGATCTGTATCGGAATGCCTTATGCCAGAATCAGACAGTTCTAATACAGGATTTACAAATCCAGAATACTCGGAATTTCCATTATCATCCATTTCGGCACTAACAAAATCATTCTCCCACTCTAGCCCATTGGAATCATCAGAGGCTGATGTAGGATTACTTCCAGTCTTCTTGTTGCTAAACTTAAGTGCTGCCCGTAGGATGTCTTCCTCTGTTTTGGAACGTTCTCTCATTGGAAGCATTCTATTCATTCCTACGATTTGAAGAGAGTTTTTAGAAATCTCAGAACAGTTAATAAAGCTATATTTTAAAACTTCCAAGTTTAGCAATATAGTTTTTTATTTAACTATCAGACTTGATTTGTGAATTAAAGACCCAGTCCCATGGAGGCCTTAACGGAAATTGTTGGGGTCTAACCCTGAAGTATGCCTCACATAAAAATAAATATTAGGCTCAAGCCTGTAATCCCAGCACTTTGGGAGACCGAGGCGGGTGGATCACGAGGTCAAGAGATCGAGACCATCCTGGTCAACATGGTGAAACCCCGTCTCTACTAAAAATACAAAAAATTAGCTGGGCACGGTGGTGTGTGCCTGTAATCCCAGCTACTCAGGAGGCTGAGGCAGGAGAATTGCCTGAACCCAGGAGGCGGAGGTTGCGGTGAGCCGAGATTGCGCCATTGTACTCCAGCCTGGGTAATAAGAGTGAAACTCCATCTCATTCATAAATAAATAAATAAATATTAACAATCACCAAAGGGCAGTTTTGATGCATCATTGATCATCTGATAAGATGAAATTCCTGAAGAGTCATAAATAAAACCGAAGGGATGGAGGATTTCAATTGCTATTAGTCTTATATGGCCAAGTCAGTATGTCTACCGAAGTCCTTTCCTACCCACATAATTTCATTTCCCAGAGAATGACAGTTACTCTAATGATAACATATACTTTTCCAGCACTTACTAGGTTCCAGTTATATACATGGCACAGATATTAACTGATTTCATCCCCAACAACTCTATGGAGTATAGTACTATCATTATTCTCATTCTATAGTTGAGGTAACTGGGACAGAAAGGCTAAGTGATTTGGGTAAGGTCACACAGCTAAAAAGTGGTGAAGCAAGAATTTTAATCCATTCAGTCTGGCTCCAAAGTCTATGGTCTTACGCTCTTCTAACTCTACCACAACAGAGTAGAGACGTTTCTGTGGGAAACTGTTCTAGATCTAATTCTGAACAGAATAAAATTGGTAAAGTGAAAGTGTCAGTAATATTGCAGAAAAAAAACAATGTCATTTTACTGGCAGAAAGAAGGGAGAGAGGACAGAAAAGAAATTTGAATCTGCAAGTACAGAATCAACATTAGTAATAGAACTAAAATCTAGGATTCACAAAGGGATTTAAAAAATATTCTTAGACCCATTTAATAATTTTTTGACCTTAAAGATCAGAGCCCACCACAAAAGAACATTTAAATCTGTATCAGTGTTGTCTGTCACTCCTGAAAAATCACAAATTCAACCCAGGAAAGCAAGTTATCTCTATAAATAGGACAAAAATATGAGCTAGATACTAACATAATTTTGTGGATTTGTTTCTGTCAATTTATCTCTAAGAAGTTCTATTTAACTTCTGGCTTTAGACTGTCCACAAGGGGGTAGTAATCCTTCATACTGAGTAATGTCATGGGCTTGGGATTCAAAAACCTTGAAAAAATTAACATTTATTTTCTAAATCTACAAAACATTAAAAATTAAGCAATTTTCTAAAAATTTTTATCAACAATGATAATCAATACACTAACAGTCTAAAAAGTGTTTATATGATTCTTCAAGGCTTTGGATTTATTTCCATTTAAATAAAGACCAAGGTAGATTTATATAAATCAACACAGATTATATTAACTTTTTAAGGTAAAATTGTGAATTATAAAATACCTTCTTCATCTTCCCACTCTAGATCTAAGGATGTGCTGTCATCATTTCCACTAGTTGATTTAGTTTTGGTCATTAAATCACAACTGCTTTCTGTATTAGGTGTCAAAACTGTAGCATCTGATGAGAGTCCTAGAATATACACCAAGTACAATTGAATGGTTTCATCTGTACTCTTCTACCACAACGGCCAATTTACTTTGCAACAATTATCTCTCTCTAAATATTATTACTTTTAGCTTCATAAGAAATAATTATGGAAATTATATTGGTAAGTTTCTGTTAGGAACACTTAAAGAAACTTTTTTCTTTTTTTGCCATCTAAGCACAGCAAACATGCAAATTTAGATGATTATAAACTTTTCAAATATGGTGAACTAAGGGTCATATTTTTAATTGTCAATTACAAAGGAGCACAAAAAACAAATGAACAAAAAAGATAAAACAAAAAGCAGCCTATATTTTCAAAAGGAGCCACTACTATGCTTCCACTATTGGGAAGCATACAAGTTTTGCTTTTGAAACTTGAGGAAATATTTTAATCTTATAGAACAATTTGTAATAAGTTAAAAATAAGTATACTCTACTCATCTGTTTATTGTGGCATAAAAAAACTGTATAGAAAATGCTTTAAAAGACTTACTACTACTTCGAAAAATTTCATACTGTGACTTTGTATTTCCCAAGCAAGATTCGAAGTCATCTTCTGGTCCTGAACTGTAATAAAAGTGAAATAATTTTTTAATATATTAATGGTAGATGCAATATAACAAATATTTAAGCTAATGATAGCATTTTGGCTTGAAGACCTATGCCATACAAATTCATAACTGCTGTATGATTAGAATAACCTAATGAAAACAGTTAATAGTTTTCTTAATACTAGTATGAAACTGAAAATAATAAGATTTTGGTTAATCCTGAAGTCAAATCTCCAAAGCTTAGCTATAAATCCAACTGTAGAATAAGCATGAACATAATTATTTGAATGAGTAGTGATACTTGTGGAAATGTGACACTGAAATGTCTCTTCCAAAAAATGACCACACATAAACTTTAATACAAGAAAAGAGAGGGACTAAGGAAAAAACAAACAAGGTATAAAAGTCACCCAAAGACATTCAGCTACTGTATCACTTCTATATGGGAAATGTGACCACTCTTAAAAATGCAAGAGAATCAGTTTAAATAAATAATGATCATGTTTCAACTTAAATGCTCTCAGTATTCTTCCAAGACAGTATCTTTTAGAAGGAATGATTTTTGGGGAACACATAAACATGAGTACATATACACACATCCTGAGGTGAATGATGCTCTACATGTCAATAAAATCTTCTACCACAAAGGGAAGGAGGAATATGTTTCACCATTTACCTTTGATAGTCTCCATTGTTGGAAGGATGGTATCGCTGCACAATTCTCTGCCTTTCTTGCTTTGGAAACATAATGTAGTAAGAAAAACACTCTGTTGTAAAATTATATATTTTAAAACCACTCATGCAATACCAAAAAGCATTTTTTTCTAGTTTCTAAAAAAAAAAAAAAGTTATTCTGTGGATATATTTTTCCTTAAATCTATCACTATTCAATTCTATATCCCTTTAATTATGGGTAGAATTTTTCTGAATTGATCAATGTATAATCTAGAAGTGGCCAGAATATTCATAGTGTTGTTGAAAAGTAACTTTTTTTTTTTAACAGATAGGTATTGATATCTTTAACATACTTAGTATACCCAAGAACTTCCAACCAATTGGTAAAATGAGGAGCAGGAAAGGAATAGTTAAAACAATACATGAAGTCCTATTCTGGGTAAAGTAAGTAGCAATAAAACAAAAGATTTATAAGATCTGGCTGAGTTGACTTAGAAATAATAAAAGCAACTGACTAAGAAAGAACTGTCGGAGTTGTGGCTCTGATAGCTATCAGCTATGTATCCCTGGCATGGCCTCTATTTACTGCTCCTTCATCTATAAATTATAGATAGCTATATTACTGCTCTAACAAACTCAGGGCTACCATGAAAATCAAATGACTTGGCGGGTGTCTGTGTATGTCTGTATGTCTATACACTGTAATATGTTCCTACATCAAATATTTAACCAGGGTAGGAAAAACTCAGAGAACCTTGGAAATCACCCATATGGATGTGCATATGGAATGCTTTGCCTCTAAAAGGGAAGCAGTAATTTGTTACGGTAAAGAGTATCTATGTGATACCCAGAAAATACTTTTATTTCTTAGAAGGTAAAAATTAAAAATTTGTTCATTATTTAGAACTGACTTAAAAAAAAGATACTCCCTCATATAATCTGCTGCAACAGAGAAAGAGAGAAGAAGCGGGGAGAAGGACACAGTTCACACGGAAATCATGTAACAATATGAGAGACATGATATTTCAGTTTCCTAAGGTTTACTATGTGACATGATCTTTATACTATTATATTAACACTAAAGAGGTGAATCCAAAGAGGTAAAATATGGAGGAAGATACTAAGAATACCAACTATACAATGTTGTGCTCGAACTTTGGCTCTGCCCCTTATTAACTGTAGAATCTCAAGAAAGTTACAAAACATACCCTACTCCCCAGTTTCCTCAACTGCAAAACAGGGATTAAAAATATTATCTCCTATGATTGTTGTCAGGATTAAATAAGGTAAAACACTGCTGTCTGTTATTCATAGCTGCCAGACATTATGGTAATGCAGCATGGTAAGAAATGGTAAATCTGCTGCTTTTCCTGATAATGTGCCAAAGGTTTCTCAAGACTCAAACTCCCAATCTCCCAAAACACAAGAATAAAGATGAGAAGCAAATAATAACCTTATGGGGCAAAACAGCAGTTTATCCAGTTCCAGGAAATAAAAGAAATTATAGCATTTCAAGGAGCTGTTTTAAAAAAAACAAAAAAAAACCTCACAAAACAAAATGCTTTGCCAATTATATTTAAAGACTAGTTTTGCAATGTCTTCCCTCTAAGAGTACATTTATTTTTTCCAAAAGAATACTGAATTTTATAGCACTAAAATTTCTTTATGATAAACAGGAATCAGCATTTGCTAAAGTAAAGCTAAATAGCATTGAGTATCCAGTATGTAATCTGATGTTATTTCTAGCTGTTAAAGACTAATTTGCCTTGAAAATTCTTAAGATTATATGGGTAAATACAGTAGTTGTTAAACAAGAAGTCCTTGAGAATAGGAAAAAAAAAAGTCCCAACTAAGATTTGCCAGAGAAAATAAGGAGAAAAGCAACCCTAATATATGCTGGGGTCTTTTCCCCTCACCTCCAAGAGCTTTCGCTGCTTTGCTGCCCTGGCTGCTTCACGCTGTGCAGCGTATAAAGCTTCTTCTTCTAGTCTTAACTTCTCTTCTTGTAAGGCTAACTGTACATGAACAAAACGATAAGGATTAACAAAAATCAGAACCTGTCTAACTGCTCTAAAAATAAAATACTTCTATTTATAAAACAAAAAATAAATTATTAAAAAATAATTGATCTCTACAAAGCATAACAGAATTGAAATGTTTGCGATTATCTGTTTAAATTTCTTCTTTTACAAAATAACCCAAAGGATATAAAACGCATTACAGAATTCTTTAGAAACTGAGTTATGAAGCAGTAGCATTAATCTGCATAAATATAGAACTGTTTCTTTAGAATATGCACTGATCTTCATTTTAAACAATCATTCCAACACATATCACCTTCACTAGTTTACCGGTTTTGGCACTCATAAATCCAGTATCTTTAAGACCAATTATATCACCGTTGACCAAAGGGAACTCGGCTTTCACAAAATTAATGTCTTGCCATCTAATTAACATCAATGCACATGTCTCCTTAATTTTATTACTATCAAACTATTCAAAAATTACTTTCATATTTAAGTTCCTGACATTCATAAGAGCACATAAACTGCCTTAGTAGTATCTATTTCATGTTCAAGTTAATTTGAAAATCAATTTCAACACAAATTTTTTTCTTTAGGCTAATATTAACATCTGTTGTACAGCTTATGTTAATCCTTTTGAAATCACTAATTGGTCCTAAACATACTTTTTTTTTTTTTTTTTTTTGAGACAGGGTGTTACTCTGACACCGGGGCTGGAGTACAGTGGCACAAACACTGCAGCCTAGACGTCTTGGGCTCAAGCCATTTTCCCACCTCAGCCTCCAGCGTAGCTGGGACTACAGGCGTGTGCCACCACCCCAGGGGAATTTTACTATTTTTTGCAGAGCTGAGGTCTTGACAAGTTGCCCAGGCTGGTTTTTAACTCCTGGACTCAAGCAATCTGCCTGTCTTGGCCTCCAAAGTGCTAGGACTACAGGCATGAGCCACCATACCCGCTTTCAAGAGACAAATATTTGTGTGTGTATTTGTTTTTGAGACAGGGTCTTGCTCTGTCACCCAGGCTGGAGTGTAGTGGCTCCCCCATGGCTCACTGCAGCCTTGACCTACACTGATCCTGACCTCAAACTCCTATAGCCTTGAGGATCCAAGCAATCTTTCCACCTCAGCCTCCTTAGTAGCTGGGACTATAGGTGTGTACTACCAGGACTGGCTAATTTTTTCATTTTTTTTAAGAGATGGGGGTTTCACCATGTTGCCCAGGCTGGTCTCAAATTCCTGGGCTTAAGGTGATTCGTCCACCTTGGTCTCCCAAAGTGCTGGAACTATGGCCACCATGCCCGGTCTTAAACAGAAAATTTTTAAATGTACAGTGGAATATGAATAATTCCATTTAGTTTAGTAGATGCAAAACCATAATTATAGGCCATTTCCATAAGCACATTAAACAACTTTAACACTTACAATTATAAGTACTTGGTTCTCTGTGAACAAATATACCAAGACAAAAAGTCTTCAAAAAACTACTCATTGTGCAACAGGGTAATTTTTTAAAAAATTTGTTTTTGGTTGTTTCCTTTTTGAGATACGGCCTCACTCTACTGCCCAGGCTGGAGTGCAATGGCATGATCATGGCTCACTGCAGCCTTGACCTCTCTGGCTCAAGCAATCCTCCTACCTCAGCCTCCCAAATAGCTAGGACCATAGGCGTGCATCGCCACACCCAGCTAATTGTATATTTTTTGTAGAGATGGGGTTTCACCAGGTTGCTGGTCTCAACCTCTTGGGCCCATGCAATCCACCTGCCTTGGCCACCCAAAGTGCTGAGATTACAAGCATGAGCCACTGCACCTGGCCTAAAAGTTGGTTTTAAATACAAAGGTGCATATTCTTGCCAGAGTTCCTACTTTGTGAATTAAGAAATTATTTTAAAAGAATGTACTATCTCCATTTTTTGGCAGCATATGATTTCTGATAAATTAAGCCAAACTAAAAGAAATGATAATAGGCTGGAATGATAGTTTTACTTTTAAATCATATTCATCTGTATGTATCTAAAAATAGGTCCAATGACTCTACACAATATATTATTTAATGACAACTCTCTCCTTTATAATAACATGTACTTAAGCAATATAAAAGACTATTTACCTCTTTTTGAATTTTCTTATCAAGATCTTTCTGTTTTTCGGCAATAGAATCATAATGCCTTTCTCTTAGGTCAACAATTTCTTCCTCAGTAAGAGGCCTAGAGAAAAAAAGATGGGGAGAAAAAGAAAAAACAAAAACTTCTAATGAGTCTAAGTACAAATAAAACACTCAAAACACCAGTGAAATTCTCAAATTTTGCTGTTAAAGCAATTTCCTACAACTTCAATTGTTAAGAGTAAAATGTATACATTCTACCACTTGCTATAATTCTAGTGCATAAACTGATATGCACTAGATAATGTATCAGACTAGTTTTTAAAGAAGATACATTATCAGACTAGTTCTTAAAGCATTACAGCTACCTTTTAAGAAATGTTGACTTCATTTACCTTCATCTGGCTTTGCTTCAGCCATCTAACCTACGGGGGTATACCCTAAACCATATCCCAAAATGCTCATCATAAAATATAAACGTTAGTACGCTACTACACCCTGATCTCAGCCCTCATACCATTCTGGAACTATTCTTAATCCTCCTATTTTATCCTGCTCAATCACTCTGGATTTCCCAGGACCTTCATCCTTCCCTTTTCTCCCAGTCTACTTGTCCCAATCATCTTGCTTCACTTACAACCAATAGGAACACCAAGGCAGAGCTGAACTACTTTCTTACCACCATACTCACTTTCTTGCACTCCTATTATTATTCCATATTCACTAAGTTTTCCTCACATTCTGACCCTGGGTCATTTCCATGATCAGCCCTTTCTGTTTTAGGCTGCTAGAGAAAATGTGACATCAATTTGGCACTCAGCCACCAGCAGCAGTCCTTTTACATATACGTGGCAACTCCTTCACATATCCTACACTATCAAATTCAAAATCTTCAAATACTCAAGTTCCTTATTCATACCTTTTTTTCTCTTAAAAGGCAATTTCACTCCACTTTAAGAATGAGGAGTATTGACCATGAATCTCCCTAACTTTGTGCCAACCCCCACTTACTTTACATATATCCTTATTCTCCTCACCGTCCTCTAAAGAGGAAGGTTCTTAACTTGTTCAGGGTCACCTACTACATTTACACTCTTGATTCATTAACCAGTGAGCCCACCTCTCCTGCCTCACTCCAGAGAATTCTCTGGGACCTTGTTCTGTCAATTAGTACCTCTCTTTTACTTTTATCCTAGTCCTTTTGCCTGTTTGCATCTCTCTTCCATGTGAAGGAAGGAAGGAGGGAAGAAAGAAGCAACTAAGGGAAAAAACCCTCCATTGACCTGTATCTATCTCAAGCTACTGCACTTTCTTTCAGCCAAGTCCTGAAATTAAATGTATAGTATTAATAGTCAGTACATCTGGCACTCACTATGTGCCTGGCTCTCTTCTTCTAAGTGTTTCATATATATTAACAAATTTTAATCCTCACAACAACCCTACAAGGTAGATATAATGATTATACATATGAAGGAAGTAAGAGGAAGACAGATTATGAGTATGGCTAAGTAAGTCATATAGCATGTGGCAAAGCTGGAATTTGAACCCCAGGTAGTGTAGCTCTTGTTCTGAACTACTTTTCTTTTGCCTTCATCTCCTTTCTTCCCATTCACTTGTCAATTTGCTGCAGTTTAGCTTGGCTCCCATCACTCCGATAACTCTAGCAAAGGTAATCACTGGCTTCTATGTTGCCAAATACAAGTCCTTATCTTACTACCTCAGTTTTGTGGGACAGTATTGAGCATTCCCATCTGCCTGTCTGCTCTCCTCCTTTGGCTTCCCAAGTTCTCCTGGTCCTTCTTTTTGCCAACTACTTCCTGGTCATCTTCATATTCCTCTTCTAGTGGAACTTACAAAATGAAATACAGATTTTAAGTGCTTAGTTCATAAAGTTCTGATAATTGTATGCACTCATGTAACTTCCAACGGAAGCAAGATACATAACATTTCTATCACCTCACATACTTTCCTTGTGCCCCTTTACAATCAGTTCTCTCGCTTTGCTTACACAATTTCTTCTGTCTGGAACGTCCCCCCACTCTACCTAGATAGTTAGCACTAACCAACCCTTCAACAATCAACACTAGGTGTTAGCCCCTTATAGATGTCTTCTTGGATTTCTCTCTCCATACAAGAGGCTGTTTTGGACAAACAGCCTCTTTTCTATGGTTTCCTAGAATGTTCTATAACCATTATTGAATTGCTTTCCCTATCTCAGATTGAAATTAGTCATCTTCAGAATCAATCTCCCAGACCAGGATGTTCTTTATTCTAATGGAGAGACTATGTCTGATGTTTTAAATCCCAGTGTCTAGCATAGTGCTTGGCACATGATAATTGCTTAATAAATGTTTGCTAAACTAAAAAATATAAGGATTATATGTTCATAATATAACACAGTATATGAAAATATTCTCTTGAAATTAAGAAAGCTGTTTTGACTTACAGGTAATTCTTTTTTAAGTACTGCATGTAATTTTAATAAAATATTAAAAAGCTGCTCAAATAATTATAATACAAGGTTTTAGCTACTATTGAAAAATGTGAAAAAAACTAGTATCACAAGTTTCAGAATACGTAAGGAAAGAAAGGGGTGATAAAGTTAAAAAATTTAAAAGAAATGTACTTATCAATATTAAATGGTTAAGAAAACTAAAAAACACATAACAGGTACAACAGGAAAGCATCTAGGCACATTAAATTCTTTAATTTTCAAAATAGTCTTGAGATGTATAATATCTGTCCCAATCTTACATAAAGAAAAAACTAAGCTTCTGAAAGGTAAACTGTTTAATGTATCAAAGCAAGTAAATGATAAAGCCTGACTTCTTAAGAGAGTTTTCTTACAGTTCACATAGGAGTTTTTTGTTATTATTTTCTTTAAACAAAGCCTTACCTATGACTGCTTCCTGGGCTCTCCCCCTGTACAAAAATTAAGTAAACAATTAAAACAAATTCACTAACTAAATTCTATTTAAGGTAAACCAATATAATTTTTATTTCATCTAAATACTTTCAACTTACTCATTTTTATCAGAGTAATACATTTCACTACTAAATATATTTCACTATTAAAAGTATTTGAAACAAAAAGCTTTAAAATTTTACTACTTCCCCAAGGAAAAATTAGTTTATTATCTAGCTTAATTACATAAAACCATTTGCTGGACATTTCTTAGATTTTGTAACAAATATTTATTATATACCAAATGAACTGGGGTCAGGATGGTATTTGATAACATATTCTCTAAGTCCTTATCATTTATATTAATAGTTGATCCTTATTCTTTGCAGTTTCTGTATTTGCAAATTTGCCTACTTGGAAAATTTATTTGTAACCACAAAATCAATACTCTTTGAGCTTTCTTGGTTATTCAGGAACAGGCATGGAGCAGTAAAAATTTCGAGTTGCTCAGCAACGTACATTCCCAGATGAAGTAGAACAGGGCAACAGATATTCTGCTTTCTTGTTTCAGCTCTCATGCTATAAACAAGCATCCTTTTTACAGTCTACTTAGTGCCACATTGTTTGCATTTTTGTGTTTTGCTGGTGATTTCTGTTTAAAATGACCTCCAAGTGCAGAATACTAAGTATCCCAGTGTGTTCCTAAAGGCCAAGGAAACTATGATGTGCCTTAAGGGGAAAATATGTGTGTTAGGTAAGCTTCATACAGCCATGAGTTCATGGACTGTGCATTCAAAATTAATGAGTCAATAATATATGTTTAATATGGTGTCTTAAACAGAAATGTACATAGAATAAGTTTATATACTGATTAGTTGATAAACATATTGTGACCAGAGGCTTGCAGGAACCTAACCCTGTATTTCCCCTGCAGTAATGCTTCAGCATTCACTAATTTAGCATTTGCACAACTTTATTGAACATAATTACAATAATGAGAATAAACTTTTTATTTCTTTCACAAGATTACAAAATTATCTGTAGTTTTTTCCTCCAAAGCAAACCATAACTACTTTCAGGATTTATTCAGGTTTATGCCTATTTATTATACATTTAAACTATTTACATCTGAAAGTTAAAATATAAAGCAGGATAAAATTCCAAATGGTCCACATTAGTTTAGAAAATAGTATTACAAAACATGATGACGTTCAACTAAACCAAACACAAAATATAAAGTAAATGAGAGAGGAGAAGAGGGCTTAGCAAAACCAAAAATAAAAAAAATCCTCAGCCAACCAAACAAAAAGCATTTAGGAAAAAGACACAGAATCACGAGTTCTTTTGAAAAGTAGTATGCTGGGATCAATTATATTGGAGGCTGAAAGAACGCTTTCTTTTAACACTTGTCAGATGCTTTAAAAACATCATGTCCAGTGTTTGCTTTAACTGTTTAAGAGAAACATATGAAGACAAAAGTGACTTTTGAGAAGGGAAAGAAATAAGTTCTATGAAGTGAAATATTTTACTGGGAGAACAAAAGGCTAAAACAGTTTCTAAAGTGTGTCCTATCAAATGATAAGTATGTATCATTATTTTAAAAAAGGATTTTTACCCACATTAATTTGGGAAGAGCTGAATTGAACAAGCTTAAATAATTCAGTTTAACAAGTTTATGTCAGAACGTTTTACATGCTAATTCACATTCTGAGACTAGTATTCTATATATCCTCTGAGAAAGGCTAAAGAATACATTCTTAAAGGAAAGATTTAATATATTTTCTTCTTTCCCTAGAAAATAAAAATGACAAAGTGTCAACTTGCAGTGTTTGTTCTGCAGTGTTTGTTCTTCTAGTCTAACCAATTTTAAAGATGTAGAAAGAAGACCAAGGGAGGTTAAGTAATTTGCACAAATTCATACAATTAATTTAGTGAAGTTGCAAATTAGCATACAAACTAAAGTTCTAACTATACCAATGCATAAGAAATGCTTCTTAGCCTTTTGACTAAGACCAAATGTTGAAATATACACCACATTTGCTGATTCTAAAATGCCCTCCCCTCATATTTTTAACATTTCTGTATTTGAGAAGCATCTTAAAACTTGCTGAGTTTTATGAGCTGAAATGTAGAAAATCAACATAAAGAATAAATGATAAAAGAGATGATGGCTACAGTCAGAAACTGTAGAATAAACGTGTAAAATCTGCCATCGGTGTCTATGAAAACTATAATTAAAGAATGGGCCTACTTGGCCGGGCACAGTAGGGAGGTCCTTTGGGAGGGCACAGTAGGTCCGGCACTTTGGGAGGTCAAGGTGGGTGGATCACTTGAGGTCAGGAGTTCGAGACCAGCCTGGCCAAACAATGAAACCCCGTCTCTGCTAAAAATACAAAAATCAGCTGGGCGTGGTGGTGGGCGCCTGTAATCCCAGCTACTCAGGAGGCTGAGGCAGGGAGAATAGCTTGAACTCGGGAGGCAGAGGTTGCAGTGAGCCAAGATTTTGCCATTGCACTCCAGCCTAGGCAACAGAGCGAGACTCCATCTTCAAAAAAAAAAAAAGAAAGAAAGAAACAAAGGAAAAAGAAAACCAGTGGGTCTGCTCTGGACCAGTGGGTCTGCTCTGGATTGTGTGGTTTTTTACCTACCTAATGCAAGAAGTTAGAAATATTAGAAGTACAACTTTCTGAAGTTCCTCAGGTTCTGTATAATCCTTAAAAGCTGTGTGTGTGTATAGTATATCTTAGTTAAGAAAATTCAAAATTATTTTCTAATATAAATTAGTAAAAGAAGAAAATAATATAGGACTAAAAAGTAAAAATAAAAATTCTAAAACAAAAATAGTAAAAATTATAAACATAATTGTTAGAACTAATGAGATGACTAATGATAAAAACAAATAGAAGTTTTGTACTATTATGAAAATACTTACTTCATCACTTTCTACTAGATTCTCAAACTGAAAGGACAAAAAAGTATGTGTTAGGAGGAATATTTGTCTAAGGTGCACATCTCATAAGAAATTGTTACTGTTTTCACTTAAAAATAATATACCTTTATATTTGTAAGATATTTAATTCAAATACCTCTTTAATACATCATTTCCTTTGATATATTCAACAATCCTACAAAATGGCCAAGGCAAGCATATACTATTTTAATTTATGACTTTCTAAGAATGAAAATCAAACATGAGAATTACAGTAATTTTCTATGTAAATTAGAACTAAAACTTTCAACTGAGTAAAATATTTCATACAAATATTTTAAGTCCATGCTATCAGAATATTCCACTTCACTTGAGTTCAGAACAAATGTCATAAAAAGGAAAATTATTCAAGGAATGGGAACTAAAAGTTACCAAATAAGAATTTCCCTACATTTTTATATTTATTCATCTATTCATTCATATATTGACTGAAAATCTATTAAAAGGTAGTCACGATCCTCCAATACACTGTCTTTCTAGAGATAGGAATGTAAACAGTTTGATCATAATGTGATTAACACTATTATGTCAATGACCTAATGAAAGTCATCAGAATCTATGAAAACTATAGTTAAAGAATGGGCCTACATTCTTTATTATTATATCAGTAAAATGTTTGCATTTTAAATATAAATAACTTGATAACCACCTGAAAGAAAAGGTGTTTTATTGCTAATACTGTTTGGTTTAAAGATTGAGAAAAAGCAATAAATTCAAAGGGTTAGAAAATTAAGGACTCTCTCTAAAAAGAGAATAAAACTGTTAAAGTTATTACATTTACCTTATTCTTATATTGGTTGTAATTTTTAAATATCTAATTCCTGCCTTATATGTTTCCTTATTAATTAATATAGAAAGCCATGAAGTACAGTGTTCAAACTTTGGAGGCAGGCAGTTTGGACCAGAATTTAGTTTTGCCATTTACATGTGGTGTAATATAGCCCAATTTCTCTACCTGTCTAAGCCTCTGATTTTTCTTCTATGAAACAGGGTGACTATCACCTGTCATCACATGTTGTGATGACATTCTTAATTTGTATGGTAGAGTGGCTAGTTTATAGTAGGTGAAGAATACATGGTAGCTTCTATTATTATAATTTACATACAAAGAAAAAGTGACTCAATGATTCTGCTGTGGAGTTGCTCAAATTCAACTTGCTGCTTTGTTTCTGCTACTCCTCCCTGCTGGGGCAGGCCAACTATCTTCCATTATACCTGCTGCCTAAGTGAGCCACTATTACTGACAGAAGAGTAACTTCTCCCTGACTTACCTAGGGTGGGGGAAAAGCTAGTAGAGAAACAGACCCATAATCCTCTGCAAACTTCTTCCTATTCATTCCTTCCCCCACTGCTCCAATTCTTTCTATCTTCACTAACATGAACAATGTTGAAATATAAACAGTTCCTTCTAAATTTGGGTCCAGATCTTTCCCTCTTTACAACAAAAAGCCCCTTCTGCCCTTCTGAAAGCACTTTTAATCCAATCAAATTCACAACTACTTACCTCTATTGTTAAGTGCTCACCTCTTGAGCATGTTCTAAAATACTTGGATCTGGGAAGGAAAACAGAGTAACTTTAAAAAACACAATTAACTCTATGACTGAATTAATATAGTGGCACAAAAACATTTCCTCAAGAGCAACTTTAAAACCTCTAACATATAGTTATATTTTTAAAAAAAAGAACAACAAAATTTACCTAAGAATATAAAAAGCCCAGATTTTTAAACTTCAGTGTGACTTTGTTTAGTCAATATTTCTTTGTGTTGGTACAAATATTTACTAAATCTGTAATAATCAATTTACTATATTGAGCAGAGTACATTTTAAAATTTATCTCATTTTACTACATCAAGAAAAATACCTTATTAAAATTACAGATGTGTTAAATAATATATAAAAAGAATATACTCTCAGCTGGGCAAGATGGCTCATGCCTATAATCCCAGCATTTTGGGAGGCCGAGGCAGGCGGATTATGAGGTCAAGAGATTGAGACTATCCTGGCCAACATGGTGAAACCCTGTCTCTATTAAAAATGCAAAAATTAGCTGGGTGTGTGATGCACGCCTGTAATCCCAGCTACTCAGGAGGCTGAGGGAGGAGAATTGCTTCAACCCAGGAGGCCAAGGTTGCAGTGATCAGGGATTGCGTCACTGCACTTCAGCCTGGTGACAGAGCGAGACTCCACCTCAAAAAAAAAAAAAAAAATCTCAATTTTGTTAAAAATACATGAAACATTACTATCTGAAAGGCTTTATGTCAATATACTAAGAGTAGTTATCTTTGGTGGTGGAATCATGTATCTTTATTCAAGACTTCGTTATTTTTCCATGCCCTCACAAATAAAAGAAGCAATGCATATATATGTCAATCAAACAATCCATTACATTTTTTTTCAACTAGGGCCAAATATTGACTTTCATTTTAATCATTCTTTTCTGCTCTCATTAAACGTACATGCAGTCAAATAGGAATCTCCTTTATGATATCTTTTCCAAAGATATGTCTACATTCTAAATACTACAGGATCCAAGGTGAAAGCCCAGGACAGGGCCACACACAGTCCTTTGTAACTGAAGTGTCAGGAGATTATGAGACTTTCAGTCATAATGTGGTTCCTGTTAAAAGCTGCTGAACCTGATGAAGGAGAGAACTCCACCCTGCCCCGCTACAATGGGAATTCAAATTTGTACTAAGTGTTCTTAACGCTTCAGGATTCATGGACAGAAAACATACTTTTAAGAAACAGAAAGAATCCTGGGGTTAGGACAGAATTCTTTTGTTTTTCTTTCCTTTTTGGAGACAGGGTCTTACTCTGTCGCCCAAGCTGGAGTGCAGTGGCACAATCCTAACTGGTGAGTTAAGATTTGTAGCCCAGCTTTGCATTCCTGGGCTCAAGTGATCCCCCTGCCTCAGCCTCCCCAGCAGCTAGTACTACAGGGATGCACCACCATGGTTGGCTTCACTTATTTTTTGCAGAGACAGGGACTCACTATGTTACCCAGCCTGGTCTCAAACTTTTGGGCTCAAGTATATCTGGGACTTCCAAAGTGCAGAATTCTTCGTATTATGTGTATGTGTGTATAAAGGTTTAGTGAAAGAGAATGTCAAACTATCATGACTGGATAATAAAAATTGCAATGAAATTATAGGAACTCTTTTTCCTGCTATAATCTTTATCTGCTGATAGATGCAAAGCTGTGTTATTGCCCATTAAGAGACCACAGGTAAAAAGCAAATATTTTGGTATTGCAATTTCACAGATTTCATGAAATATATCCAATATAAATGCAATACCCTTAGTCCTCTATCCAGTGCCTCTACTCTTCTCTCTTCTTTATTTCTCAAACAAATACAGAAATGGGTTGAACCTTCAGTAGTAGCACTGGATTCTGGCATTAGGATTCCTGCTTACAGTGCTATATGGTTCTCTCCATGCAACCATTACTATCTTCCCTGAATGAAGAATCTGTCTCTGATTAATCTGTTTCCTCTTCCAGGTTTACTGGGTAGTATAGCTGAATAATTAGAAATAAAGTTCAGTAACACTATCAATATGAGCCATCAGTATGAATTCACTGCTGTAGCAAAGCCCAAAGCTAAGCAGAACACTGTCCAAACCAAGGCAACTGTTATACTACATTTATATTAGATGGCAGAACACCATGTTCTAGTCCAATTACACATAGATATTACAAGCTAACTTTAGTAGTAGACAAAAGTGTTACGTGTTGTAAATGTCTCCCTTTTCTGTCCCCTCTATCCATAGCCAGCTATACTGAGAACACTCATGTTCTCACATGACTCTGAATCCCTGAGTATCTGACTAAGCTATAATCAGTCAGTACCCCACACCTCATTTGACAATTGGTTCAGGGTTACACAGAAACTGAGCATGGAGAGACAATTCTTCTGAGAGCTCCAGAGAGTTGCTGGGGATTATGCTTTCTGACAATGCGCAATGAGAGGAATGAAATCAACTGAAAGAGTGATCTGACAGCACCAAAGTCACCCGTAAGAACCAGATGCATCCCACCCTGCTCATGGTTTGGTTATTAGTTGAGAAACCTAAGGTCCCTATTGTAAAGTCTAGCCTTTGCCTAAGATAGTTTTAACTGGCCTTCTGTCCCCACAAAGTCTTGATAACAAATAAACATGAATCTAAGTGATACGACAAATGAGCAAATTATGAATAGCAATAAACAGAACAAGATAAACAGAAAAGCAAAATGTATTTGGGGAAAAAATTCAAGCTTTCCTTTTAAAATGGATTAGCTTGAGACCTTCTTCACAAAGGCCGTATCTTGACGCCTATCACAATAAAAGCTAAGATTATACTGATAAAGTAAATATTCAATTTAGTAAACTCAGGGACAACATTTTTATCAGGGGAGCTTTGTCCTGTGACTTATCTGAAAATACCAAGAAACACTGTAATATGTATATATTTCATGAATTAAGAATTACTTATTCAAGTATGCTTGAATTATGTTTACTCAGTCAAACATTATTGATGACCAAATAGGACCCTCGGACATGTAAAGTGTTAAATTCAGTCATTGATACTTTGCCAACTTCCAACCATAAAAAACCTTAACTTTTCACATACTTTTCTATATTCTACATATATTTAAAAAATAATTAGAAAGCCAATTTTCTAATGGTTTGAAAGGACCATTTGAGATTTCAGAGAGCTACTAAGAAATAAAAAATGAAAACTCAAATCTTGCTCCTAGGTAAAGATAAGAATACAAGTGAAGGGGAAGCAGAAAAACTGAGGATAGGAATGGAAGTACCCAACTATTAAACCTTAAGTCAAGTTTTATATTTTCATTTCATAAATATTTGTCAAGTGCTTCTCAAGTGCCTGGCACTGTTCCAGGTGCTGGCAATACAACTGTCAATAAATAGATAAAGGCCCTGCCACTTTGGAGTTAACAATTTGGGAATTAATCACAATAAATACATAGATAAATGTATCAGATGATAGTAATTGCTGTGAAAGAAAAGCACCTCATGCTGTTTTTTATAAAGGTTGTACTAACTCACATTCCCAAATTAATGATAATAAACACATAAATACATTGGATGATAATAATTGCCATGAAAGAAAAGAAACTCATGCTGTTTTTCATAAAGGTTGCACTAACTCACATTCCCACCAACAGTGGCTAAGTGTTCTGTTTTCTCCACATCCTTGCCAACCTCTATTACTTTTGACTTTTCAGTAATGGCCATTCTGACTGGCATAAGATGGTATCTTACTATGCAATATATACAGGTAAGAAATCTGCAGTTGTACTCTCTAAATCTGTAAATATATATATATATATATTTTTTTTTTTTTTGAGATGGAGTCTCACTCTTGTCACCCAGGCTGGAGCAGTGGCATGACCTCAGCTACTGCAACCTCCACCTCCCAGGTTCAAGTGATTCTCCTGTTTCAGCCTCCCAAGTAGCTGGGATTATAGGTGCCCACCACCATACCCGGCTGATTTTTGTATTTTTAGTAGAGATGGGGTTTCACTTTATTGGTCAGACTGGTCTTAAAGGCCTGACCTCAAGTGATCTGCCTGCCTTGGCCACCCAAAGTGTTGGGATTATAGGCATGAGCCACTGCACCTGGCCTATACTTTTTTTTTAAAGAAAAGTACCTTAGAATAAGTGAAGACAGTGATTGGAGGGGGAGGTTATTCTATGTAGGGTGGGTAAGGCAGGCCTCTCTGTTAAAGCAAAAGCATAACAAAGACCCCCAAGGAAATGAGAAATCCAGCTAGACAGATATGTGGAAGAAAATAATTCTAAACAGAGGAAAACCAAAGGCTCTGAGACAAAACTTGACTTGGCACACAGTCTAAGAAAGCAAGAGGGTCAGAATGGCTGGAATGAAGAAGAAAGGGAGAGAAGGTCTGAGAGATAGTCAGGGTCAGATGATAGGATTTATAGACCATGGGAAGAGTTTTAGATTTTAATATTAATTAGATATGAACTCACAGAAGAGATTTTTGTCTTTAGCATTCACTCTGTTTTTTAAAACTTTTATCATGAACCTTTTCAAATATGCACAAAAGCAGAGAGAAGAGATTAATAAGCGCCCCTGTCCCCATTACCCCACTTAAAGTTACTATTTCCTAATCATGTTTCATTTATACTATACCCCTTTTTGTTTTAAGCTGGTATTTTACAGCAAATCCCAGATGTGTTATTTTACCCTTACCTCAATTTGCATCTCTAATTACAGTATTAAGAACTGTTTTTTTTTTTAAAAAGCTAACACAGCAACAAAATTTAAAATGATTCTTTAATATTATCTAATGTCCAGTCCAGTCTATATTTCTATTGCCCTGATTATCTTTTTACACATGATTTGTTCAAATAAAAATCAAACAAGGGCCACATAGTACGTTTCCTTGTTAGGCCTCTTGCACCTCTTTTAGTCCATATCAGTCCTCTTCCCTGTACCAGTGTCTGTTTTTATGCCATTGATTTGTTAGAGAAACAGTGTTATTTGTCCTACAAAATTTCTCACTTTCTGAATTTACCTGATATTT